AACATGGGGAAACTCAGGACCAGAAAGATAATAGGTCTTGCCCATGGTCTCACAGATAGTAAGTAGCAGAGCTAGGATTCACACCCTAACTCCAAATCCATTGCTTTTTTTCTACTGGACTAAATGCCAAACTTGAGAATTTGCCTGCTCTAATGTGCCGATGTCATCCCATCACATGAGTGATGACTCGCATGAGGGGTGACTCTCTTCTTTGATGCATGGATCATTTTGACAAATAACACTGAAAAGCATTTAAGAAACTGGTCCATGGCAAACTTGCAAGCTCATTGGAACTCAGATTCAACTCTTCTGGTACCAAGTACTGTCAGACATCCTTACTCTCTAAGATAGTAGGCCACAGGTGGAATTGCTAGTGATAGTAGAATGTTTCTCTCCCCTAACCCAAAAATGTATAGGTTATCCAGCAGACCATCAAATCTAATTGCTGGCTAGCTCGGTGATTTACTAATCTGGCTAACCTATTATGGCTCTGAAAGCCTCTGGAACTTTAAAAATATTGACAGAACTTATACAGTTTGATCCAGGAAGTCTTGGGGTGTAGACCAAAGGGAATAAAAGGGAGATAAGGGAAGTTTGAACAAAATGGGGAAAAAAAGGCCATCAGTGAGAAAATGTGTACTTACATCAAAACATAGATTTAGGGCTAGAAGGGAACTTACATATGTTAGTATGACCCCCTAATTTTACAAATGAGAAAACTAAAGCCCCCAAAAGTAAAATGATTTGCTCGGGGTAATACAAACAGTAAGTGGAAGGGCTAGGATTTTAACCCACAACTGCTTATTCTAAAATCAGTGTGTTTAACACCATACCAAATCACCTAAGGTTTTTTGATACATCTACAATTTCATATTTAATGTTTTAGAGGGAAAATAATGTTAGAATCATAAAGTTCTCACAGAAACCCCCTCCAAGTAATGTGAAACAACAAGATTATATGAAGCATAGTTTGAGAAAAAAAAAACCTTGCTTTAAAGAAATAGAACACTCTTTTGGGGTCTAAATGCAGAAGAGTAATCCGAGGAATAAACATAATTTAGTAACCACCATATCATTTTGTGGGCATTGTTCAAGCACCTGAAGCTATTTATGAAGTAAAAAAATGAAATAGAGATTTGGTAATTATGTGATTTTGAAATATAATTATATTGGGAACTTCATGAGGGCAGAGCCTACCATATTTTTATGCATTGTTGTATCCTCCTCAGCTCCTAACACAGTGGCTTGCCCTTGAATTATTCTTCTTTGAATAGAATTGCATTTGTCAATTAAACCTTCATCTTGACCTTATCTCAGTCACTGTGAGAAGTGGTCATACATGGATTTTGCTATCATCCCAAACTATTCCATCTCCAAAATTTTGATGCTATAATATTTCCCTCTTTGATCACAGTCACCTGTCATTTCACTGCTTCAAACCTCTTGTCGTTGAGTCATTTCAGTCATGTTTCACTCTTTGTAACCACTTTGGGGGGTTTTCTTGGCAAAGATGCTGAAGTGGTTTGCCATTTCTTCCCCAAGCTCATTTTATAGATGAGGAACTGATGTAAACAGGACTAAGGGACTTTCCCAAGGTCACACAACTACTACACAGTCAGATTTGATCTCAGGAAGCTGAGTCTTCCTGATTCCAAAGCCTAGCACTCTATCCATTGTGCCACCTAGATACCCTTCCAAACCCCTTCGTTCTTCTTAAATCTCCTTTGTCCTTATAGAGAAGAGAGTGCTTGACTGGGAGTCAGAAAAACATGGGTGCAAATCCTGCCTCAGATAATTATTAACTATATCACTGGGAAAGTCACTTAACTTCTCTGTGCCTCAGCTATCTTACCTGGAAAACAAAAAGGGTTGAGCTCAATGATTTCTAAAGTCCCTTCCATCCTTGAATCTATGATCTCATGATCTATGATGAGCATTACAAGAGTTAATTCCTGTTGTCTCAACTCTTCCCTTTAAGGAAGGTTTGGAGAGCCAGCAGGGCAGGTACCTTGTGAATTAGAGCTTTCATATACTCTGGACGTGGATAGATACTTTCTTCCTAAACAAAAGTTCAGAGATTTATAAAATCTCCACAGGAATAATTCCATTTTCTTTTAATTTGCCATTTGGATTGTGGGCCTATACAACAGGAAGAGTTGATGTCGCATCTTATTGCATGAAACTACATGAGGTAAACTAGTGGCCAAATACTTGTTGTTTTGCTCAATAGGAAGAAACCTGTTATTAACACCCGGTTACTTTGATCTCAAGCTGTTTGCAATAGCAGTTGTTTCTATTATACCCAGAAGAGTTTGAGCCCCTATGAGCCACAGACCTGGGGGAACCATTTAAACTTTCTTAGCTGGTGGCAGAATAAAGCTGAGAAGACTCATAATCTTCACCACAGGGAAAAAACTAGAAATAAAATAGCTGAAGGTAGCATTTGTAGGGGGTTTATGTCTTCGGATTTAATTCTAGGAGAATCTTTGATGTCAAACTTCCATGGCAGTTTGAAGAAAATAAAGTTATCATTCATTCATTCATTTATTCAACAAGGATCTATCAAATACTTATTGAGAACACAGACTATAATAGGTATTTGGGAGTTACAGAAAAAAAAAGATGATAATTTTCCCTGCTCTCATATATCTTATATTATTACTGAGGACACTAAACATGCAAACACACTTAGGTGCACATGCATACACACACTCACAGAGAGAGGGAAAATAAAAAAAATACAAAGTAATAAGTGAATGGGTGCATAAGAAATCACTGCACAGGGAGCTTATATTTCTTTTTTTTCTTTTCTTTTTTTTGGCTAGGCAATGAGGTTAAGTGACTTGCCCAGGGTCACACAGCTAGTAAGTGTTACATGTGTCTGAGGCTGGATCTGAACTCAGGTCTTCCTGAATCCAGGGCTGGTGTTCTATCTACTGTGCCACCTAGCTGCCCCAAGGGAGCTCATATTTCAAAAGAGTCAAGATTCAGAGAAGACACAAGAAAGAATATCTTACTTAAATATTTCCAAAAGAGATGTGGAACCTCTACGACAGAGTTTTGGGGAACAGGTAGAAAATCAATTGTTTCTGCTGGCAAAGATATGAGTTTGGTTGAAGAGAAAAATACATAATGTCCCAATGATTAATACTCACTTCATAAGCCATGTGGATACTATTTAATTGACTATGGAAAGACACATAGTAGATGTAAGCAGAATGTGACACAACAAATTAGTCATGAAAAAAATGGTATTATAGTCTGTCATTTGAGAAATGTGTAGTCAGAAAAGTAAATGGGCTGACCATGTGGCAAAAGCAAAACATAAGGAGTAGCCCATGCATTCCACTGATATTTTTGAGATCTTAGGAAAAGACAAGGAAAGCCTCTAGTATATCAGGTAGGCCCCTGGTGGCGAACTTGTGGGAGCCACCTAGCATGAGCAGTCATTTGTGATCCTTTTAGGGATGAGAAGACAGATTTATTTGAATATATGAGGTTTTTAGTAATCAATCCTGGAAAAACTGGAATTGGGAAAGAGACTGTTATCCAAGAGATGAAAAGACTTATTGGGGACATGATGATTCTCTTCAAGTTTTTAAAGGGTTAGTATATGGAAGAAGAGATTAGACTTGTTCTGCTTGGCTCCAGAGGTCAATGTACAGATGATATAGGTTCACAGGACTGTAAAGTTGGAAGAGACCTTAAGAGTCATCTAGTCCAAGCCCTACACAAAAAGAGTCCCTACTATAACATACCCAATAAGTTGTCACCCAGCCTGTACTTAGAGACCACCAAGTAGGGGGAACCCACTGTCTTTTGAGGCAAGCCATTCCACTTTTGGACAGCTCTAATTCTTAAGAAATTTATCAGCTGCACATGAGAAAAGGAACAAACATAGCTGAATAAAAATGGGACATGCTGTCTGGTGAGTTTGTCATTGTTGGAGATTTTCTGGCCAAGGATGGATGATCACTTATTGGATGACAACACCACTGTAGATGTAATTTCTGCTTCAAGTGGTAACCAGACTCCATAGTTATTGACCATCCCCCAACAATTCCTTCCAGCACTGATTCTAAAGACCTCCTTCTTCAGAGTTATAATTACTCTAGGAAACTCATTCATTTTTGCATGTATATAAGCCTTCCTTTTCTCTTGGCATCAAGCTCTTTTAAGATATGTTATTTTGTTTTTTCATGTCTATTCACTGCTTCTCTAACTTTGGTCTCTGTTTGAAGAATTCTTAAATTTGGAAAGAATGGGTCAGCAACCTTCACTTTCTGTGAGGTCCTAAGGCTCAGAAATGTAGATATGATGCCAGGATGGGAAGACAAGGAGATGGAACAAAAGAGGGGCTTATTACAGACCATTTGAAGTAATACATGAATGTCCCTTGGAGATAGAAACAGGAGTTCTCAGCAGTGGTGTCTAGCACTTCAATTCTTTCTGCCTCTCCCTTGCCTTTCCCTCTGGATCATGTTGTGAGCCAACACTCATCAGAGATTACCACCCAATGCTTCTCATAACATAAGGCTAGAATGCTGATGAACTCCAAGAGCATACACAAACCAGCAGACCTCTACAATAGATAAATGACCATGTGCCATGGCATTAAATTTATATATATTTCCACCTCTAACAGCTGAGGCTGCCCTGGAGATCCAGAGATGACTAAGGGAATAGTGGAACCTTATGGGTAGACAAAATCCATCCAGTGGACAAAAAAAACAACCCAGTAGCAAATACAGCATCAACACCCAAACACTGACACCCTAAGAGTTTCCTTCAGCATTTCTCCTGACTCTGCACTATTCTGATGTTTAGCTTGCCTTTAAGAAATGCAAACCAAAGACACCATAGCCTAAAATGAGCTTCAAAGGATATCAAACTCTTCTTTCGGTTGTACACAATAAAAGAAACCATGAGAAGAAAAAGGAAAGTGCTTAGATTATAAATCATCATTTATTTCATTTTCATTCTCTCTATTTTGTTTCTAGATATTTCCACACCATATACTTAGGTATCCGAAGCCGCCGGAGTGGGGAGAATGACAGATGGCGGTTCTACTGGAAGATGGTGTATGAGTATGCAGATGTGAGTATGCTGCATTTGCTAGCCACCTTTCTGGAGAGTGCCCCACAACTGGTCCTGCAACTCTGCATTGTCGTTCAGACTCATACCTTACAGGCCCTCCAAGGTAAGGGCTCACCATCGTGGGTTTGGGGATTTGTGGGAAAGATTCTGAATGACTGCTTACTCAAAAGCTCCACTAACTGTCTCAGTGTCTTTCTGTCAAAACTCAGGCCATCCAGCCCCCACTGAAATATACAGACCACTATGAATGCACTTGAGAATGTGAATGATATGTGATATTTTCTTCACCCTTGTTGTCACAGCTGGCTTATAGAGAGACAGTTGTCTTTTGCACTTAGACTGACCTTTTCATCAAAAGAAAGGGAAAAAAAGGTTTTTGTTATTTTCCACTTGGCTAATGGTAGACTTAGGGGAACAGAGCCAACAGTATCTCTGATGTTTGTGATGGTATAGTGCTCCAAGGTTACAATAGATCTATAGATATATTCACTGGGGTTTATGCCAAAAAGTAGCAGCTACAGCTGCCCTCATCGTGAACCAAAGAGGTGTTGACATGAGATCATAGAGAAGAAAAGGGCATGGTCATTGTTGTTTATGTGCCCCAACAATTTCCCCCCCCAAAATATGCAGTTTCCAGATTCGTGCTTAAATCCCATCCTCCCAGCCTTTTTTGTTTTGTTTTGTTTTTATTTGATAGTTCAATTGTTAACATAAATGCCAAGCTGTTTTCTCAATCCAGATTTTCCTAGTAACTAGGCATCATAGGGACAGAATGATATGTGAAGAGAGTAAAGATTTCTGATCCTACCATGGTTTTTTAACTTTCATGCATTCCATGCTGTGACGTTCCTCATTTTACCTTACATCATTTTGCCATGCTGACAAAAGTATGGTGTCCTTCTGAAGTCTCCCTTATGGATGGCTTCCATTTGAGCTTTTCTGTAGGGTACCCAGTAAGTTTAGACCAGAGGTGTGAAATTCACAAATCATTGGCCACATGCAGCATGCAAAACTCTCAAATGCAGCCTGAACCAGATTAAAATGTAATTTGGAAAATGTTTAACACAATAAACAAAGGAATAACACAACATCGAAAATGTTAATTTATTGTTTTCCACATCAATATACCACCCTCAGGGATCCATTTCTATCTGAATCTGACACCATTGGTCTAGACTATGCAAACTAGAGAACCCAGAAGCAATGTTAGTCTAAGCAAGCAGGAATTCTCAACACAGCCTTTGCTCTAGACTAGAGCAGGAGTGGGGAACCTGTGGCTTTGAGGCCAACTAGAACATCAAAGTTAAAACTTAATAAAACTTTTAAAATGCTCCTTAAGAGAGCCTATGAGTATAGAAAGCAAACAAATGGTCCAAGAGTTAGAAAAAATTTAGGGAGTGGGGGAAGAACAAAACTGAGAGGGAGAACAAACCAGAAATGAGGAAAATCATATTAAAAGCTAATTTGAGAAGTCTATCTGGTATATTGAAAAAAAACAACCAAAAAAAAAAAATAGACCAGGTTTTCATCAAAGCTGTAAATAGCCATGACTGCACCTGAGGCAAATTCAGTTGAGGGATAGGGAAACATGGGTTAGTGCAGAAAATAGTCCTACCAACAGCGCAGCTGTGTTGGGAGGGTGAAGTCCATCCCACAGAAAATCTCACCTTGCTCCCATAGGAGTAAGGGGAAAGTGGCGATATCACACAAACAGAACACTCGGGCTGGTAACTTAGGGTAGTTGTGCCATTCATGGGCTGGAGGATAAAGAGATCAAGTATATTGTGGGGGCTGAGGAGAAAAGGGCAAGGAGGAAGTGCTTCCTCCAGGATGTCAGCACACTGGTATAAAGCTGCAGTCACAGTACACTAGTTGTCACTCTGGTTTTAGTTGAGGCTCTGCCCTATCACTTTCCTGGGACCTCAGTTTCTTAATCACTAAAATAAGGAAGTTGGAATAGGTGACAGCTAAGGTACTTTACAGCTCTAAAATTCTGTTATTCTATAAATGCTTTAGAAGATTGGGCCTAGTGTATCATATGGGAAATTATTTACAAATTATTATTCTCATGTAAAGAATTTCCAACACTATACACCAGGGAAGCTAGGTAGCACAGTGGGTAGAATGCTGGGCCTGGAGACAGGAAGTCTCATCTTCCTGAGTTCAAATCTGACCTCAGACACTTATTAACTGTGTGACCCTGGGCAAGTCACTGAACCCTGTTTACCTCAGTTCCTCATCTGTAAAATGAACTGGAGAAGAAAATGGCGAACCACTCTAGCATCTGCTAAGAAAACCTGAATGGGGTCGTGAAGAGTCTTCATGAGTCAGACATGACTGAAAAATAGCTGAACAGCAATAATTCTCATGAAATGAGGTTCAAAGGATAATGTTGTCACAAAATGCAGTGCTCATTCCTAGAGCAAAATCATGAGTTCCTGTTGTGTCTATAGAATGTAGGACCATGGAAGAAAAGAGAAACTAAGAAACAATAGCCTGGTGACAGATCAGTCCACTGTCTATTGTAGTTGCTGTCGTTGAGAGAGGCAGAGCCACAGATAAAGGAGCAAGATCATCTTTACCTGCTCTGTGGTCCAAGATGGTTGGACAACCCAGGTGGTTTCTCCCAAAAGGCTTCTTAAAGCCTGCAAAAGCTTGAGTTTTCAAAACCACATTGAGGGCATTGGGAAAGAAATTTCTTTTTCTACCTGGTATGACTGTGTTGATTGCCTTTCCTTAAAAACAGTGTTAGTAGGAAATAAAAATGTCTTGCGTGTTTATTAGATTACTCAAATCCTCCAAGTAATGGCACCCAGATGAATCAGGAATCTCAGGTTATGAAGAGCTATGCCCACTCCCTCACTACTTGACTGTTCAGTAGTACCCCCTCATCTTAAAACTTCTCCCCCATGCACAGACATAATATGACTCACATTCCCACTCCTGGTCTCCCACTCTCTTTCTTAGTTATGGCATCTATGGTGTGACAGAAATCATGCTGTATGTAGAGTCAAAATAAGTCAGTTCTACTCCTACCCATAATGACTGTGGTTAAGCCAGTTGTTTCTCTGGGGGATAGCTTTCTGAACCTCATGGTTTTCATCTACAAAATAAGGGGACTAGATAAGATGACCTCTCAATCACCTCCTAAAAAACCCCATTGGAAATTCTGAGAGACCATGGGGAAAAATCATCAGTCCACCACCAAAGCCACCACCATTTCAACCTCCCCAGAGCCCTTCTTAGGCTGATCCAGGGACAGACATAGGCAAAAATCTTCAACATTGATATAAGGGGCAGTAGGGAAATGCAGAAGGTGACAAGCCTGCTGGGTCTGGGGTTTGTTTATTTGTTTACGAGGAAAGCAGAGAGACAGTTATGCTAAAATACCAAAGGTCAGATAAATTCAAACCTCTAGCAAATGACAAGGGAACAGCTGAGGCAGCATTGCCAGCCTTGTCTATGCTTAGAGGAGAAGCATATCTCTTCAGGGAGAGTAAGACCAAACAAAGCCCTCCGGTTAGAAATGAGCTATACTTACAGATGAACCTGGGAACATGACATTGCTCCAAGACATGAATTCAACTGATGTGAGTTTAAAGAAGCAGGGACCACTCTCCCTCTTGAAAAGGGAAGAGAGAAACATGAAAAAGGGATGCAGCCAGGCTAGTACTAGGTAAGTGCCAAAACATGTGGTTTTGTAAATCCTTAATACTGAAGGATCCCACTCTGTGTAATAATAGAGCTGTCTGTTATAAATATGAATTATGAGTAGGCATTGAACCTGTGAAGTACTTTGCAAATAGTTGCTAATTAAAATATCTGAAATGTTTCAATTTAACAGGCAGAGCAAGGCCTTGCAGTCTGAAAGTCATTTCCACATGTGACAGACAGTTTTGTGTCTAAAACTGAAGGGAGGGGATCCTATCAAGAGACAACATTTCTGGAGTGCCAGACAATTGTATTTTTTTCAATCTAGTCCCCCCTCCCCGCCACCTCCTGCCATGCTGTAAAGAAGAGTACCACCTTAAGACAAAAAGAAAATTAAATAGAGAATATGACATTTTCAAACTCAATCCAAAAACTGCATTGCCCTGATGGAAGCTGATGTGGCACTCACTGCCAGCTGTGAAAATCCTTCCTCAGCTCTCTTTGCTTATTGAATAAATGTGCTCAAGATAACTCTTTGTGCTGGAGGCTGACAGGCTCACTGTAGAAGTGCATAAAGGAAGAATAATTTTTTGCAGTGGTGCCTCAGTGTTTGAGATCTCCCCACAGCCACAACAGGGCAGCTGTGTGGTCTGTCATCAGCAGTAGGTTCAGGGATCCCCATCCTGTGAGTTTAGGCTTCCACACACATCCTCAGCCTTCATCTCCTCCATGACGGAATGAGCATGGAAGACACTTCGCAAGATTCCAAAAAGATGACCGTGATGGGCAAAGTGGAGAAAGACTGATCTGGCTACCCTCATTCTGAACCATTCATTTGTGGTGAGAGAACAAATTATTAGCTCTGTTAATAAGCATGTCGTTTGGCAAAAATGGCATGACTCTTACAACCAGAAGGCTTAAGTTCAAATCAATAAATCAATCAACAAGCATTTAATAAGTGTTTACTATACACAAAAAGACAAAAATGAAACAGCTACTGCTTTCAAGGAGTTTATATTCCAACGATGGAGTCATCATGTACACATATGAGTAAATACAGAATACCTGCAAAATGAATACGAGGCAGTTTGGGTAGGGCAGACCGTAGCATGCAGGGGACCAGGGAAGACTTCATGGAGAAGGTGGCACATGAGCTGAATCTTGAAGTAAACCAGGGACCAAAAGATATGGAGGAGGAAGCAGGCAAAGAGAATATCCAATACAAAGGCGTGGAACTGGGAGGAGTATTGAATGTGAGCAATAGCAAGGAAGCTTAATACTGCTTTAGAGTGTAAGGAGGGGAGTAAAATATAAGAAGATTGAAAAGGTAGGAAGGGCCTAGATTGTGAAGAGATGTTTATATTTGCTCCCAGAGGCAATGGCGGGGGGGGGGCGGGAGAGGTGGTTGTGATATGGTCACATCAGACCTAAAATTTAGGAAAATGACTTTAG